GGGAGTTCTTAGAGAGCGGGAAGCGGGGGGGAAATGCAAAATACTGATTTTTGTCCTTCATTTACTCATTGACGCCTATGCCGGCCGTAACCGGCTATGGCCTTTGTTCGACTTCTGGTGTCATCACCTTTCACCAACATTGGCATCATCTATGCTCACATTCTGCAAGAGAAAAAGACCTTTCCAATGATACCCAGATCAGAGTGATCAGGTCAATGGAGCCTGAAATATGCACGAAAATACTGAGAAATTTGAGTGAAAAACTCGGAGCAAAATTTCCATCAACTACACTTGGCTACTCCATGGTAAGAATTGCCCGTCTCGATGAGGCTTTTTCTGGAATTTTTGAACTGAAAGCAAGCCCAGTAGAAGGTCAATCACTGCAGCAAAAAGATAAGAAAAGGAGAAAAAGGAAAGGCGGAAAAAATTTTTAAAAAACCCGAAAAGTCTGAAGACGAAATTTTGATTTCTGAGTGCGCCCGAGCAAAAATGTCCTAAAACGCGATGTTGGTGGAAAGAAAGGCATGCTGTCATGTTGCAAATACATTTTTGAGTAGTGTGTAGCTAATTTGGCTCATTTCCAGGCTGAAAATGTCCAGAATGTTCCAAAAATGCGTTTTTGGCATAAAGCTCCGGGAGTCAATGCGTTAAGCGTTCAAATACTTCCAACTTGGAAGTATTTGAACGCCAAATGCAAGTCAAATATATAACATTTTGAGTTCTTGCTTTGAAAGCAAGAACTCAAAATGTTATATATTTGACTTGCAATTGGCGTCTTTTGAGACTTCTGGGCCGACGAGGAAACAAAAATTCACCCTTAGGCGAGAAAACCGAGGCTGACATCCAGTAAAAGTTGAAGCCCTTTGACGGTGCTTACATGTATTCAAGTTAGCACATACATATATTCTTAAACTCCTGTTGTAAAGTCCAGAACACAACCTTAATAACAAAACCAGCATTCTTAGAAATTCAATGTACACTTAGATAAAATAGAATGATCAAAGCAGTTAATACTTAATGGAGTGTTTCTCTTACTTTCAAGTTCACACTGTCAATTTCGTCCAGTACAGAAAAGAAAAAAAAAGCAATCAGTTTTGAGGTTTTCAGTTGATCGAAGGAGAGCGATACTTTATCTTGTCCATCCATTACACAGTTGTTCAGTTGCAAGCCCCTCTGAGGGACTAGTTTTAGGAAGGCATATCACGAATAGACAGTATCAAATGTGGTTGGCCAGGTATCGAAGTCTGGCATTTAATGGAGCTAAACTATTGGTTGCTATTAATTTCAGGTCTTTGCTGGGAACACTGACAGAAACACTGTCATTGCACACTCTCTTAGACCTCACATCGATGC